TATCCCCCCCCCAAGAAAAAAAACCAAACAAACAAAACAAAACCAAAAAAACCCCCAAAAAAACCCCTCCCCCCCCCCCCCCCCCCCAAAATTGTAAGCTTCTGAAAGGCTGAATTTAAAAATTCTCTCTGTGAGTTTCCATCTTTCCTGGCCTGCACGACTGAGCACCATGGTAGCAAGTCAGGGTCTATGGCCCAGGTGCTGGCAAGGAACTGGTCTATTGCACCTTACTGAGGGCTACCATACTGGGGGCTGGAGGAGGCAGAGGATGATGAGCAGGAAGGTTAGCATCCCTTGTTGATTTACACGTGCAACAAAGACACAGATGACTAGTGAAGACCTCTGCTGATGACATTTGGGTGCTTTTTTGGGGGTGTATTCTTGCCTGCTTCTGCGGTCCACATCTGGGAGAAACATACCCTGAACTAGAGGAGGGGATTGTCCTTGAAATTGCTATTGTGACTAGTGATTTCTGCTCTAGGCAGTGCTTACTGGGGACTGGAAGCTATGATGCAATAGGTACCCAATAAGTCCACATCTGTGCAGTGCCACAATAAGGCAATTGAGAGCAGCATTTGACTGGATTTTACATGTTACAAAGTAATCTAGATAATCAGTTCATGTTTCTAGTCAGCCTAGTGTTAATGCAGACAAGTGCTAGAAGATAACATTATTACTTGATGAAAAATAAAGTATGGTTTGTTACCTGCAATGGACTTGTAATTTACCTTCTTGGATCTGTGTCAGAAATGAAATATTCAAGAAAATCCCTGAGATTTAGCCGCAGTAGGAGATGGGGTCACATTTGCAAAGGAGTTGCCTGTTTTGTCTACTTTGAATTGAAATTAAAAAGTGTTGCAGTGGCAATTATCTAGTATGAAAGATTAGGAAACAAAGTGCAATTACTTCACCTTTTTGGACTTTTGTTTGCAACCCTTTAAAAAGTAGCAATTATAGCATATTATCCATTGAGGCTTGAAATGTCTACCTCACAACACATTGCATGACAGTTTCAGTTTAAGAAAACAGCTTAAAGCAATTGACAAAAGACTTTTGCCTACAAGTGAAGTCTAATTGTTTTATTTTTCAATTTTATAAAATAAAACTTTGTATCAGGTTTGCACAGCAAGGTTTCAGTAGCGAGGGGGGCTACAGGGGTGGTTTCTGTGAAGATATGGTAGAAACCTCCCCCACGTCTGATAGAGCCAATGCCACCCAGCTCCAAGACAGACCTGCCACTGGCCAAGGCTGAGTCCATCAGTGATGGTGGTAGCACCTCAGTGAAAATATATTTAAGAAGTGGAAAAAAAACTGCTGCACAACAGCAGCCAGGGAAAGGAGTGAGAATCTGTGAAATAAACAGCTCTGCAGACCCCAAGGTCAGTGAAGAAAAGGGGGGAGGAGGTGCTCCAGGCATTGGAGCAGATATTCCCCTGCAGCTTGTGGTGAAGATCATGGTGAAACAGGCTGTCCCCACACAGGCCATGGAGGTCCACAATGGAGCAGATATCCACTGCAGCCCGTGGAGGACCGCATGCTGGAGCAGGTGGATGCCTGAAGGAGGCTGTGACCCTGTGGAAAGCCCATGCTGGAGAAGGCTCCTGGCAGGACCTGCAGCCCTCTGGAGAGAGGAGCCCACGCTGCAGTTTTGCAGGCAGGACTTGTGACCCTGTGGGAGACCCAGACTGGAGCAGTTCATGAAGAACTGCAATCCATGGGAAGGACTCACATTGCAGAAGTTCATGGAGGACAGTTTGCTGTGGGAGGAAGCCCACGCTGGAGCAGGGGAAGAATGCGAGGAGTCCTGCCCCTGAGGAGGAAGAAGTAATAGATACAACATGTGATGAACTAACCACAACCTCCATTCCCTGTCCCCCTGTGCTACTTCAGGGAACGAGATAGAGAATTCAGAAGTGAAGTTGAGCCTGGGAATAAGGGAGGGGTGGGGGAAGGTGTTTTGAGATTTTTTGTTATTTCTCATTACCCTACTCTGACTTTTGATTAGCAATAAATATAATTTCCCCAAGTAAGGTCTGCTTTGCCCATGGCAGTAATTGGTGAGTGATCTCCCTGTCCTTATCTGAACCCATGAGCCCTTCATCATATTTTTACTCCCCATGTCCAGCTGAAGAGGGAGTGATAGAGTGGCTTCGGTGGGCACCTGGCATCCAGCCAAGGTCAACCCACAACAAACTTGCATAAACACTTGCCTAATCAGGAGCAAATAACAATGAGAAAAATCGATAGCAACAGGAATGATGTGTTTTATAAAAAGCTTTTAAATTAGAGGAATTTACAGCATAATAGCAAAGAGGTTGAACAGGGTAAAGGAAAAAAGAGATCCTTTTAACCAAGAGTTTAAAGGGTAACAAATCAAGAAAGTAAGAAAGCTTAGGGGAGACCTTACTCCAGTATTTAAAGGGTGGCTACAAAGAAGATGGAGACCCCTTTTTACAAGGAGCCGCATGGAAAAGATGAGTTCAAGTTCCTCCTGGGGCGAGTCGGATTGGACATGAGGGAAGTTTTTCACAATAAGAACAGCCAGCCATTTCAATAATCCCCCAAGGGCAGTGGTGGATTCCCCAGCATTGGACACTTTTTAAGATTCAGCAGGACAGGAAGCTGGGACATCTTGTCTAGACCATGCTTTTGCCAAGAAAGTTTGGACCAGATAATCCTTGAGATGTCTCAACCTGGTGTTCTATGATTCTGTGGTAAATCAGGCAACAGATCTAATCTAGAAGTTTTTTGGCTTTTTGGTTGGGTTTTTGGGGGGGGGGGGGGGGGGGGGGGTTGTTGTTTTTTTAAGAAGCTAAACAGTTGCACAACTCTCAGATGCAAACCTTGTTTCAGGCTTATCCCTTCAGTTGTCTTGCATGACAATTTCCACAGCATGTGTGTGGGCACATACATGTTGATAGGTACATTGCATCACTACAAGGAGTGGTGCAATTTTACCCAGAGGTCTGCTTTCCTCACAAAACTGACTGATTTATGTAGGAGAGGCTGCCCTGACAAGTGCAACTGTTATTGGTAAAACTTAGTAGCATAGAACAGGCTGGGACATCCCCATACTAAAGTTATTAACATTTCAATTAACAAACAGGTGTTTGCTAGAGGTATTTTTCCCAAACAAGCTGTAAAAACTGTGGTAGGCATTCAGGATTTCTTGCCTGCTGAAAGAATGCAAGTTTGTATGACAAGTCATTTGTACACAACCTTCATTCCTCAGAAAGACGACATGCTGCTGAACAACAATTAAAATAGTTGAAACAGCAGGTGCTACAGTTGCTCCAAATTAAAAGTTCACCATGACCTAGCAGCAGAAGAGGAACCCAATGAGTAACCTCTGCTTCTGTTAATCTTTGCTCTAACCACAAGCATAGAACATCTCAACTATGTACTTTGTTTTACATGTATCACTAGACAAGTTGATCTTGCCACTTTTAATTACTTTGAGTGCAACATCTAGTTCACATGGCATCTAGGCTACTCTAGAACAACCTTACTATTACAGTCCTCAAGACCTCATTCGGCATAACAAAATTAATGGTACAACAGCCTTGGTCAACCTCTACAGGTTTGCAAGGATTACTAACAGAAAAAAAAAAAAAAGTATTCAAGCAGGACACTGCAAAACATATTTTATTGGTAGGAGATTTTTGGAAAAGATGTAGACAGTCTGAATAGAAGTGTCTCTGTTACAAGTTCTTACAGATATTATACCCAATAGCAAGCATACATGTTTTCTCCCAGAACAGAGTTCATGTTCACACTATGTAATTTCAAGAAAAATGTTTCAGTACCAGATATTTTCTAACAGAAAAATTGTCAAAGCTGCTGAAAAGGGAAGGGAGCAAGAGTGAAGTATGACAAATAAATGGGATATCGTTCAAACAAAAGGCAGTTCTAGCATTTGAGTGAGTTGATGGTATGCTTTTCACCAGTGTACCCAGGGTTTGAAATACAAGAATCGTATAATCATTTAGGTTGGAAAAGACACTTGAGATAGAGTGCAACCATTAATCTAGCACTGCCAAGTCCACCACTAAACCACATTCCGATGTGCACATCTGCACATCTTTTAAATACTTCCAGGAACTCAACCCCTTCCCTGGGCAGCCTGTTCCAATGCTTAATAACCCTTCTGGGGAGGAAGCTTTTCCTAATATCCACTCTAAACCTCCCTGGCACAACTTCAGGCCATTTCCTCTTGTCCTATTGCATGTTACTTGGGAGAATAGACCCTTCACCTCGCTACCACCTCCTTTCAGGTACTGGAGAGAGAGATAAAGTCTCCCCTCAGCCTCCTCTTCTCCAGGCTAAACAACCCAGTTCCTTCAGCCGCTTCTCACAAGACTTGTTCTTTAAAGAACTGCTCCCAATAAATTCTGTACTTTGCTTAAGGAAGGTTCCAGAAGTAAAATGACAACCTAAATATAAACACACCAAGAACAAAACCTTTTGCTTTTTATAGTCCAATTAACTAGAATTTCTAAACAAACTGACATTCACATCCCATAGACCTTAGCTTTTCCTCTTCTGTAAAAGGAGAAAGAACACGGGTAAGCTGTCAGAGCATCACTTTTCAGATTCCCATCCTGCTACAGGTAAACCATGAATTGACGTTACGTAAGCAAACCAGCTAAACTTTTAGTCAAGATAAATATTTAGCAGCATAGCACCAGAGTAAAACCAAGACATCAGAATAAGTTTTCTGTAAATGATGGTAAAAACCGCAGTAGAGAGCTACAGCTCTTGAATATAAGGAGACGTATTGAACATTAAGCAGCTTCTCCCACTGTTTACTATTAAAAGAATCCTTGTATTTTCAGAAAAGGCAAAAAAAAAACCCCAACAAAAAACAAATAACGAAGGTTGGCAGATTAGAGGCTAAAGTGCTGCACCCCTATCTTTTTTACTGGTTGGTTGTCCCACCAGTGATTTTTTAAAAACAAATATCGCTAAAGATGCAAGATAATAAATCACCATAAACTATGTAAGCATTATTTAAACACAGACTAGATGGTGCTCTCTGAACCTCGTAAAGTATTTTCTCTCCACCCCACCCTTAAAACAGATTTTGATAGCTGGATGATTTAGCCACCAAGATTTTAAGAACTGCCACAGGGATGGGATATGGCATAGAAATACCTAAATATGTTAGACTAGGTTTCTAAAGCACATTCTGAAGACAATTTTAAGTAATCCTATTGAACTTTTATTGTCCACTAACTCCACTTTAGCACTGAGGAATAAATCATTCTCCCCACCATGCTCTCCCTGGAGAACTTCATAACAGAGTGTTCATCAAGACTGCTAGGATCAAGTGTCAAATTCAAATGTGACAATAAAAACCAGGGATGTAAAACACTAAGGAAAGGCATAAACACTAAGGATGTTATTAAACAATTTGAGAATAGAGTAATAACACTAGCAAAGGAATGAGTATTCCTATGTTCTCCCAAAGCTGGATTTTTTGGATATCGGCTGAGAGCAGGATCAGTCATCCCAGTCAACATTATGAGGAGCGACTGTCAGTCCAAGTGCTTAGCTGTAGGTAAGTTCTCATCACAGCAGGACTAGTAGTTTCTCTCCCCTCCTTCGACTATTTCAGTCAATAACAGAAGATTATTTTTATTTTTTTAACACTTATTTATACCACTGAATAAATCCTCAATGAAAGCCAAGACTTAAGTGCAGTAAGTTCTGTAATAAACATGGCAGGAAGGAGAAGAAGAAACAGCTGTTAAGCAGAAGCTTGGATCACAAGTGTTCCTGAAGGTACTTTTTTTTTTTAAATTAATAAATACAATTCTAAACATAAAGTCCATCAAATATGTTACTTTGATTGCCACAGCAGTGTAACACATCAATGACAGAATTTTAAACTTTAGAGAAAGCTTACTGCAATACTACCCTGTAAAACTCAGCATCTGGCAAAATTATACTACCAATTTGTTTTGAAGAACATAACATACACAGTGTAAACAGCTCAGAGAACACTCAGCAAAAGTTTTTTTTCCATAGATTTCCAAAGTATATTATCAGCAGCATTTTGGGCTTTTGTGTGTTTTTTTTTGGTTTGGTTTTTTTTTTTGTTTGGTTTTTTTTTAAAGTCAGTATGCTTGAGATCCCATCATGTCTTTGAAACCCTTCTGGAGTCCTTCAGAAGAAAAACGTAGGGGGGTGAGGACCAACATTAATGAAGCAGCACTAAAAGATTCCAGATTTTTGGAATATAAAATCATCTAGACTATTATCAACAGGAGAAGGAAGACACTTGATTTTTTTTTTTAAAAGCATAGCAAGGAAATTTTATAAAAATACTAAGTTTTTTTAATAAAGTAAGTTAGAAAACATTGCACAGTTGTTAACAGTGCTGGACTGGCCTAAAAACAGTGTTGAGTGAGAAAACACATATTGAATATTGAGCTTGTTATGAAGTTTGAGAGATAGATGACAGTCTTAATCAATTTGAGAAATATAGCACTACAGCTGTTTATGTAAATGGCATTAAGTATTATCTATAGAGCGTCCATATCTGTGTAAGAGTGGAAACAGCAGAAGCCTGTGTAGGCAGAAAAGGAAGCATCAGAAGTCCTGTACAGTACTTCCCATGATATGAATTCAGATGCATTGCCCAATGTATTTGTGAAGGACCTCTGCTGTTGGAAAAGCCTTTCTGTTCCTATTCACCATGCCCACCAGATCCTGGGTTTTCATTAACAGGAAAAGCGGCAACTAATAGCAGCATTGATATAAAGGCTTTGTCACAGTGATGATCGAAGGACGTTGTTAACCAGCCAACACTTGCAAAGCGTTAGCTGTTGCAAGAAGCATTCACCAAAAAGTGTTAAAAGCACAGCTCAGTACAAAAAGGGGATCACAATTTTTCTGCACTTTGGGTAGTCTTCAAATTTCTCAAGGTACCACCTGAAAAACAAAGAGAGAAATCTGATGAGCACTGAATCTTCAAAATGCTGTCCAGGAAATTAAGTAATTTTATATTGTGGTCAATTTAATCCATATATTTTCTGGCAACAAACCAGAAAAATGCCTTAAGAACCTACTCTGGATAGAAAACTGCTACTTACTACCCTCATACTAATGACTTCTCATCACCAACTATAATGAAACAAAGTTACTGCTTCCAGCAATGGGAAATGAAACTGAACAGATCTGGCAAGAGCAGCCAGGGAAACAACAGCCTGTTGTAAAATGTAGATTGTTATCCATCCTGAGTATTTGTATTTTAGAAGCAGAGGGGAGCAGAGACTTTCAAAAGGATAACATGTTGAATTGTATAATGACTTCATGTGGAAGCAAGAGATACTTCCCATACTGGGGTGACGGACAGTCCTGTCCTGAACATCTTCAGTTCCAGTCAGGATGTAGATAATCAAACTGAGTGTGACAAACATCACACTAGCCTTACTGCTAATCTCCCTCAAAGAGCATCACTATTTTCAAATCCAGACAATTTTAAAAGACTTAATACTCAGTGCTACCAAATGTTATTATTTGTCTGGTCAACCTTATATAATAAATAAATTTACTCCCATTTTCAAATATTTATTCTTCTGCTTCTCCAAAATAAAAAAAAAGGAGGAAATTAACTTTGCTCCTCAAAGATGCAGGTATTCATATTATCAATAGCTAATTGCAAGATTGAAGCTGGAATAAGCAAAGAACAAAATATGCAGTGCATGACTACCTGCAACTGTGGGCTACCAGCATTATGCTATTTATCCTTTCCAGCCATTTATTCTAGGTTTTTCACACTAACCAAGCTATACCAAAATATGTCTTCATTTGTATGGATTTGCTACGTTCAATTGGGGTTGTTTTTTTCCTGTACCCCTCTTCCATTTTTATGGATTTTCCTTTAGTGGAAATTACTTCCTTCACCAACGCTGTGCTTTTCATAATGCCCTATAGGAGTTCTGTCAAGACTTAAGATAGACAGAAACCAACCACGGAATTTGAGCCTAAAGAACGCAATACACAAAGAATCAGAATCATAAAATGGTTAGAGTTGGAAGGGACCTTAGAGATCATCTAGTTCCAACCCCCCTGGTTGGAACCAAAATAAGACTAAGGTGTTCAAATTCTTTTAAACATGCTATTTCTTTTAAGAAACAAGTCCTCTCAAACTATGGTATTTCTGTTAGCAGGAAAGTCACATTATGAACACAGTACGTTCAGTCAGGCTGTTTAATTACAGAGCAGAGACTTTATTAAATATCATCTCCCAAAATTGTCTACACAATTTGGTTATAGACAATATGATACAGACTGAACTAGAAAGGATGCCTGTAACAGAAACCATGAGAGTGATTTTCAAAATTTTAATATTATAGAAACAAGTTTGAGCTGCAAAGAAAAGTAGAGTATATGATCGAGTAAAGAATTTTCCTAAATGTGTCTATAATCTTTACAGGTTCTGGATGAACTATGTTCATCTAAAGGCCATTATTTTGACCATCTCATTGTACACTCTGATTTATGCTCCTTATACTTAGTACTATCCCTTTGAAATACTGCTAGTGCTTAACACTACTTAGAGTATCCTCTATCATATTCTCTACTGCAATAGCAAAGTCTTCTACAAGACTTGCTCTGCAACATTTCCATGGGATGAGGCATATTTTGTAAACTGGAAATGAAGTGTGGCATAGAGACAACAGAAATTAAAAGACACAAACACTTACTCGTGGTGCTGTTTTGCCCTTGAGCTCAAGATGAAAAGCGTACACAAAGCAAATGCAAGGCTTTCAAAGGTGCAGCAGGCAAGGGCAAACCCAAACCATTCCAGGATCTCTCCAAAGAAGTTGGCTCCACTGACATACTCAAACATTCCTCCTAAAAGCAGGACAGAGTTATCTTTGAATTACAGTGCTCTTGGAATATCTCCAATGCAATCTCTTGGTGTAAGTCCAATAAGAGTTATATCACCAATCTCTATTTATATAATTTTAAAGGCAATAGAAGCAGTGTTTTTCGGTTCGAGCTGTACTATGAAGGATCACTTCAGACCTCATTCTAAGACAGACCTTCTCCAGCTCTATTTTTCCTCTTTAAATCATGGAAGAAAGCAGATTTGCCAATATCAGGAGCGATTTCATGCCTCTGTAAATAATTAACAATGACATCAAGCCGGTTCTTTGATCATAAACTAAACCTTTTTTAAAATAGGCAAAAATGGAAAATATGCTCCCCTTTAAGAGTCACAAAAAATACTCCTAGGGTTAATTAGATCAAAGAAATTAAACATTGTATGCTAAGTAATTTAGATATTAAGTTAATTATGAAAAATATTATTATGGATTAATGTTCCAAATTCATCCTCTATCTTATAATGTGTTGCCCTTTTGTTCCTGTCCCCCACCAGGTCTACTACTTCAGCCCTGACACTCAGTGAAATAATTAATTAGCAGTCTGCATTACATGTGGTTTATGGCCAATTATGCATAAACAGTCAGTACTCACCTGATGGAAATTTTATAAAAGAAGAACTTTCACCCTGATTCCAAAGTCAGTGTACAAATTGGTAACATCTCAATATGTGTTTTACCAGTGGGACTAAACAAACACATATTTGCTAAGTGCAATGAAGGACATGTTTTGACCTTAATTACTTTGCTTTTATGACAAAAGAGAGGCAGAATTCTAGCACTTAAATTGGATAAGCAATATCAAAAAGACCAACTCCTAATTGTGTAGCAAATAACATCTGATTTCCTTCAGAAAATAAATATAATTTTTGTATACTGACTATAGCACGGTATGTTAATATTAATTTTTTATATGGGCACTTGGATTAACATCTATTAAAGATATGAAATTAACTTCTTGGTGAAAAGTAACAATCTACTGTCTTCTACACCTATTTTTCCCAGTTTTATTAAAAAAAAATAAATCACTAAAATCCAAGAGAGCACAACAACTAAAGGAAAAAAACTCAGAGAAACAGAATTCAGAGGTAGCTATGATTCCTCTGCTCTCACTGAGTTTAATGTACCTGGAAGAGTATAATGCTTCCAAAAATGTCAATAAGTATTAACACTTAAGTGCTATGTAAGAAGTACTTTAATTGCCTTCATTTTCCCATGAAGGCCAGAACTTATAATGCCTAACTTCCTTTGGATTTCTGTCCTCTCTTCCCTGTCTCTCTCTTACCACAGCAGTAGTTTCTCTCTGATCACCTGGTTACCTCCCTCTCACCCGTGGAACAACATGAGATGGGCCAGCCACACAGGGTTGCATAAGTGGCTGAGTGCTTTCTGCCTGCCCCCCCTGCTGGGATGATAATTTAAGTCCTCCTTCTCCACCCATCTGCTGATTCTCATGGAAGCTGTGGAATGCCATGTTATATTTTTACCACTTCTTAAAAATACAATCAAAGTTGGTCAAAAATTCAAAGACTCACACAATATATGTGATATCATGAAATAGATCCCTTAGAATACTTGGCTTAGAGGAAAAAGTTTCCCACGCTATGAAATCACTTTTTAAGGCAGACAGGTGGCTATTTCCAGTATCCTCTCTATCATAAATGACTATTTCCCCTAAAATACACCAAGCTCTAGGAGGCTGTCTTTACACAGAATCATTTGAGGTTGGAAGGGACCTCTTGAGATCATCTAGTCCAACTACCCCCAGCTCAAGCAGTGAGCTAGAGCAGGTTGCCCAGGACCATGACCAGTCAGGTTTTGAGTATCTCTACAGATGGAGACTCCACAACATCTGAGCAACCTTTTCCAGTGTTTGACCACTCTCACAGCAAAAAGCATATTCAGACAGAACTTCATGCGTTTTAATTTGTGCCCAGTGCCTCTGGTGCTGTCAAAGAAGAGCCTGGTTCTCTCTGCTTCATTCCTGCCCATTAGGTAGGTGTATACATCAATAAGATTCCCCCTGAGCCTTCTATTCTTCAGGCTGAAGAGTCCTAGTTCTCTCAGCCTCTCCTGATAGGAGACATGCTTCTTTTGATATAGAAGTTTCTGTAACATTTTCACTCACCTCTTGGTATCTTGTAACCAGTTTCCCCTGGTTTTCTCAGATTTCTGAGTATATGATCAGAATGAATATTGATTGCCATGCCGACTAACCACCCTATAAAGCCTGAAGAGAAATTAAAATTAGTAATTTTTAATTTAAATTAGTATCTTTAATACACTGAGCTGAAGTGCTTGATCAGAAAAAACAAACTACAGTCTTATCACACATTAGGCATATTATCTCAAAGCAGTAATAATGTACACAGTATAAGCAAGTCTAGTGACATCCTGCACAATCCCAATCCCACACTGAGCTCTTCAGTCAGTAAGGCTCACAGTAATCAGTAGGTTTCTAGATAGAAACAGTACTTGAAATATAAAGCTTATTCTTATGTTGCTAGACTTTTACATAAGCATACATGTGCACATATACAGATGTAATGTGTGTATTTCCCTAACTTCCACATAGAAAAATCAAATACATAAAGATTTTAAGCACTGAAAGAATCAGCCATTCAGATTCCTGTCAAATGGACACATCTTGGTGTTGTCCTCCCCATCTTTTTTTTTATACTGACAATATACTAGCAGTTCTACAGCAGATTTCATTGCATAGAAAGCCATAATAAAATTGTGAAGGAATTGTCCACTTTTTACTGTTCTCATGTCATTTGGCAAGACAGCTTAACCATTTATACCAGGTTTTCATAGAAACCAAGATTATAGTAGCACTCTGCGTAGAATCATAGAATGGTTTGGGTTGGAAGAGACCTTAAAGATCATCTAATTCCAACTCCCTGCCACGGGCTGGTACAACTTCCACTGGATCAGGTTGCTCAAAACCCCATTCAACCTGGCCTTGTTGCCATAACCGCATAGGTTAAATCAAAAGGAATTCAGGACAAATTCAGTATTTTCATGCTTCCATTTTGAGTCTCTGGCTACATCCTATCCTCCTTTGAAGGAAGTATTCCTCGTTGCTAGGAGCAGACAACGTTGGGGTCTGATGGTAGATGGTATTGCTTTGAATCCATCTCCAAAGCCATCGCGTTTTATTTAAATTACGGAGTAAATCCTAGTGAAGTGCTTCTAGAACAAAGTCACTTCACACTCCAGATACAGAAATCTTTGCCTTTTTGCACCCATAACTTGTGTTTTTCAGACAATTCTCTTTCAATACAGAGAAGCCCAGTAGTATGACCATCAGTGTATAACCAGAGGTATAAGGCCATGTTACAGGACTAGTAGGCTGTCAGAGTATAGTTTACCAAGACTTAAGCTTATTTTGAAGTGAAGCTACCAAGGTAAGTGGACCTTGCCTCTCAAACTGTTAAGACAGACATCTTTCTTCCCTCAATCCCTTGTGGGCTATGTTTACCTAAAGGACATAGCTGTCTGCTTCCACATGGATTAGGAGGAAATAACTACACCGCAGAGAAACTGAGGTTTTTGCATGCAAGCTCTTTCCATATTTACCTATCCAAATAAAAAAAATTTGTTTAAAGAGCTTGTTACAGTTTGCTTAAATTACAAGACTCATAGCCAAATTTAGTCCTGTGAACAAGCACGTTTCTTAGCCTTTTGTTCACACTGCACAGGGCAGTACGTTTCCACTAGCAATCCACATCTGTGGATGCCATACCCACAGTGTCTTTTACAGTAAAATTTTAATCATAACTCTTTCAACTATACATTCAATACAATTATACCATCATAAAACAGATTAGATGAATGTGATGAGCAGTTCACAGACCAATTCATATAATGACAACATTTGAAAACACAGGATGAATAATTCAAATGCTGTTGAATTCTACTTTCAAGAAAGCCAATCATTTTAACGTTTTCCTTCAAAACAGATCTCTACCCAAACAGATTATTGAACTCCAACTGCATCCAGCAATAAAAATAGTTTGCTTCTCTTAGCACTGGTAGTTAGGTATCAATTTGCTAATTGCTGCAGAAGATTGAGACTACCTTGGAAAACAAGGGATGTTACTTATACAACTAAATAAGTAAGTCATTATCTCTATCCATACAATAATCTGAAAGGAAATTTCATAACAAGCACAGAAATTAATTGCATTTAAATGTAAACAATATTTCTGCTAGTTTGCTTCAGTATTAGCATGAGGAAAAACCTATACTGAAAGTTAGAAATTCATTACTCTTCCTAGAACTGATACTTTCTCAAAAGAGGAAATGAGACACCCTTTGATTCCTCTGAAATGCCACAGTAATTTTGGAGAATGTTACCTGTGCATTCCATACTGGTATCTGTAAATGAGTATATGAACTACTAAGAACTTGTCAGATAGTGCAAAGAGACTGGGACTTGCTTTAAGAGTGTCCAATTACTATAGAAGACTAGTTTGATTCTGTGCATTTTTTTTTTTACACCTCCTATTTGAAAACTACCACATCAGAAGGGAACAAACAAATCTCTCTTTGTGGATGACAACAATCCCATGAGCATAGGCTATTTTCACAGCACCCCTCTCCAGTTTGAAGATCCACTTTTCCCTGAACTACTGCATAACCACATTCCCTGTGTCCACCCTCTGTGAGAATGGTATTTCACTGTCCTCACCCTCAAATTCTCACCCCAGCTGAGCCCTAGGACTGCACTCTACAAAGTCAAGAGCCAGGTATGTACCATGATCTGCATGACTTGGCTTCCACCTAAGGCAAATGCAGATATGTAAACAGGAAGGGAGCCACAGCGTGCTCCAGTGGATTCTCAGACCCACAGGATGCACTACGCAACAGAGGTGACCTCATGAGACTATTAAAGTCAAGAAGCTTTTCACCTTCACCAGGATAAACCTGGGGGTTAAGGAGTGGGTTCATACTGGGAAAATACTTGCACAAGAAGGACAGTAACTAGGTCTATATTGCCAAACCACCTAATGCAACAGAAGAGTATGTACGTGTTGTTGTTCCAGTGCCTTCTTCACCCTCGCCCATATAGACTCTCACGCACAAAGACCAACTCCTGCTCTGCAGGCTATTTCAGAGTGACAGTATGGTAACTGCTGTCTGGCTCACCTTCCCACCTTGGGTTTCAAGAATATGGAGTGGAAGATACCATATAGAAACAGAAGGCGACCAGCTTCTACAGCTTCAATGAAAGTGCCTAGAAGATGCTTCAGGTGAACCAGTGCTTCATCTCAGATTGCATGGTTAGCCTTTCCAAGAAGGCACAAGATCATCTGGAGCATCGAGATGTCTATGGATATCAGAAGACATACCGACTAATCATCATCCCTGGGTCACGACCACACCCGGGTATGGACAATGCCCATGCTCTCTTCATGTCTGTTCTGTGTAGAGAGTAGAGATGGCATGTGTGCTTGGTTGCCAGATCATGCAACAGACTAGGTGCTGATGTTCTGTCACCTGCACCTTTTGAGTTATAGATACTGCTCACAGAGCTGCTGTGAAGAAAAGCGTTTCAATATGCTGAAGGGTTAGCCATCAACATTAGAAGGAAGTAGTCGAATGGGGATTTGAAGGAGTAAGAAAAGACATATGACATACTGCAAAGGGTTTGATGAAGCTAAAGCAAGCAAAGGAAGGAAGGAATTTCCAACTAGAAGTGCAGACAAATTAGGAAAGAACCCAAGGGAGAAACATGCAGGTACATATTGCCCCTGTTTGTAGCATTGCCTGCTTCAGGATATCATGGGTACTCTTGGTGACTTCACAAGATTTTTATTGGCACATACGCATAAGGTACCTGCTGAAAGATTATGAACTTGTCCCCACATTGGTTTGCAAGCTCATGGTTTAATCAACAAAACATTTCCATTTCCCCTGGAAACAGATTAGTTCACTGCTCTGAACTAAACTAGCACACGGTCCTGAGAAACCATGAGGGAACCACGTCAAAACTGTATTGCTGCTTGAAATCAATTACTGGTGTAGATAAAAAGCTATTGCTTTCTCATGTTTAACTCCTAAACATCTGAAAACAGACAGTCAATCTGTATGCTAAGGCTCCACAGAGAACACATCAGTTGTTTGAAGCCTCCCACCATGGTGGCTCATCAGTCTTACTTCTCCAAATTCCTGCTTTCACTGCAAATTTATCTCATTTCAGCTTCCGATTACTGAACTTTGTTTGGCTGTTACTAGTAAACACTCTCCCATTTCTCTTCCACATGTAACTTTATTATATACACTGAAGAAGTATTTTGTTAGCTCTCAGCAAATATGCTTTCTTGCTAGTGTTGTTTTCTAATCTTCTACTTTTTTTTTTTAATTAATTTAAACAGAGGCTTAAAGACACTGCCAGATGTTTTTGAAGAACTAGAACATAATAGTCCAGTTCTTCAGGGAGTATGCAGAGTACAATACAGAGTATTGTATTTTTTTATTTTACAGCTGTGACCACAATACAATACATGACCCATATTCACTTTGGCATTAAAGAATAAAGATGACCATCAGCTCATCTAGCACTGACATTCTGAGAAATGTCATTGTGGTCACAGTATGAGAAATATTATAAAACAGGACTGAAGATATTATAAAATTATAATAAAAAATTAAAAGCTGTGAAGACAAAGAAAAACTACTTCTAATGTCCTCATAACATGTTTTAACTCACCTGTAATGAAAATTGGATCTTTTAACCAGCCTGAAGGGTATTTTGCATAGTTGGTTAGGCTCCGGCCTTGCAGGTATCCATTATAAGCACAGAACAGAAGCGCTAGCACAAAAGTGAAAAATGGCGTTGGTTTTCCTGCCCGGATGAGAAGAGGAAAGATGAGCGACCTATAGTGAACAAAGGAGGAACAATTGTTGTATGAACAAATAGAAGATACTCTTGGGATCCAAAACTGCAATCCATAGTCCAAGTTTGCTTTCCAAACTCTTAGTGGAGACTTCAGTCCTCCCAGTGCAGAAGAATAGTCACTTGCTTTAACACCTAAATATTAATTTTGTTGCCTAATTGAAATCACAAGACCTGTCCTCTCGCCCCTTACAAGAGAAATTTTGAACTTTTTATCCAAGACAATTAGTTTGACAAGAGCAGTAAAGGCAACAGCAGCTTTTTTTCCTCCTTTGTTTCTAAATCCTCAGTGGTATCATCAAGCTTTCTGGAAAGAGCCAGGTCTCACAATCCTACACCAAGTTCACCGGCACTTCCAGGGGGAAAGTCAATCCCCTTGAAGTTAACCTAATTGAGCTCAGTTTCCTCCTTGCCTTACAAGTTACTTAAAAACTTTAATTGCTTTGCCTTTACCATCTTGGTCTGCCCTATCACACCTGTTAAAGATATGGCAAATCCACAATTGCCATCCCAGTTGGGAAACATATCTTGAGTGCTTCTCCCAGAGGATTATGTGAGTAAACAAACAAGCTCAGCAGGTGAATATTTTTGTGCCCTGCCTCATAACCAGCCAACTCCCAATCGTTTATCGATTTAATGACAATCTAGAATGACATAGGAACAGGATTACCAAAGCCTGAGCATCCTTCACGTGTACTCCAGCTACCCAAGGACTACTGCTTCAAAGGAGCCTTTCCAGAGGAAGCAAAACCAGAACAGATTTCCCGAAAGCATAATAAGTTCATTAATACGATTATTTAAAGCCTGCCACATTGCAACAAATGGAATTGGACAACAGAGGTCTCTTCCAGTCTATATTCACCTACAGAGCAGTCCCTCAGCCTGGCAACAGGAATAAGCGACAGGAAAAGAGAAACTGGGGCACAGCTCACCTTTCTGCCTTGTGTTTCTAGCTGTTCCCAGACAGCGAGCGTTAGTTAAGATCCCATGCCAAAGACAATCATCTCTAACTTCTCAAGAATGGTAAAGGTAGAAGTAAAGACACGCTCCTGGGTTTGCAGAGCCAGCCAGCCACCAGCCCAACCGTACGTCACATCCCTCTCGACTGCAAGGGTGTGCAATACTTTTGGTCAAAAGCAACAGCCTCTTGCTACAAGCGCTGGAGAACAGCCATGTATCAGCCACACTCTTCACTTAAAGTTAGCCTGGCAAACCCACCTCTGCTGTGTTAGCACAGGAGCAAAACTACTTGCAGAGTATTACTGGTAACTATTGTCAATGGCTTGAAGAGAACGGCAAAAATCTTATCTGAGCTCCACCTCAGCTGTCTTCTCCCAAGCAGTTTTACCAGATACCATGGACTACACAGCAGCACGGGGCACTCTGCCTCAGCTTTGCCGGTATCGCAATGAATCACTGGATATCGCGAGCTGGAAGGCATCCCGAGGATAGTCAGGTTCAACTTGAAAGACATCACTGGCAAACAGCTACAGTTTCACAATATTTAATTTATATGATATCAGCATCCTGCTGATACCAGCATCAGCCCTGATCTTCCCTTCTTTGAACGCTGGTCCTTAAGACTACCTGCCCAAGCCACTGCTTGAAGGGGGTCTGTGAGAGGAGGCAGAGCTCTAGGTGGAGAGGACACCGCAGGCTGAGAGATCACCAAACGCTCGTTTTTTACACCATTTCCAAAAGGCACCGCAGCACCCCACCACCCCGCAGCCAAACAGAGCGGCAGTTCCTTGCTCAGCTCACACAGAGTCACAGAACACCTTAACGGAAAGGAGCAGGAAAGGCTTTAGTGATTACTACATTAAATAACACACGTTAATTAACAGCAGAATACCAATCCCTACCATCAGAAAACTGCATTAAGGCGTTTCTATCAAGACCGGCCCCAGTAACCGCGCTTCTCCCGCCACCGACCACCCCCCACCCCCGCCTTTCGGGAGCGGGAGCCCCCGGAAGGGGACACGCCGACCCTACCCCAGAGCTCCACCGGTGCCCCCTTCCCCGCCCCGTCCCGTCCCGTCCCGTCCCATCGAAGGGCCGCACCTGTGCGCGTAGTGCAGGACGAAGCAGCCCAGCAGCAGGCGGTTGGGCCAGGCGGCGGAGGTGTCCCCCCCGCAGGCGGCCAGCCCCACCGGGACGAGGAGGGAGGGCAGCTCCTGCAGCGCCCAGGCGAGGCGGGCGGGCAGCGGCCAGCCGAAGCGCCGGGAGGAGTACCGGCCGTAGGGCATGGGGATGAAGCGGAGGAGCAGGCCGGAGACGACGCCCAGCAGCACCAGCCCGCAGGAGAGCAGCTCCAGCAGCCGCCGCTCCTCCGGGCCCGACACCCGCCGCCAGAACCCGCACACGCCGGCCGCCCCCATGGCGCGCTGGGGGCGCGCGCCCCGCCGCCTCCATTCATTACCCGGCCCGGCGACACGCCCGCCGCCGCCGCGGACCAATCGGCGCCGGGGGCCGGGGCGTGGCTGGCTCCGCCCCTCCCTTTCCGCCCGCCCG